ATGCCTCCCCTTGGTCTCTATATTGCCACATATGCTGCTCTTTCTTTTATGAACGTTGCATTTATCCTCTGACACCTTTACTGTTGCACACACACACGTTTGACTCACATGGAATAAATCAGAGACTTTATTACCAGTGGGCTGCCTGTGTGGGGAGCACTGCAGCAGGGGCGTAACCATCATTTCAGAAGTGAGGATAATGTAAATGTTATTATATATATATATATATATATATATATATATATATATATATACACACACACACAAAATATAATATAAATACTCACACACACACATATACATGTATATACACATAGGCTAAATAACAAAAAATAATGTACAGTAAATACATTTACTTCTCCATTAAAATGAGAAGAGCTTTTCTTTTTTTTTTTATACAGTATATGAGAACTGAGGAAAAATGTCAATAATTGCAATGAAAATAACATCATGATACAACAACAAAAAATCCTAATGGTCCTAAACACAGGCTTTATTTAACATTTTTGTGATTTGTGTAACATTTTTTGATTTGTGAAATATTTTGTGATTTGTGAACCTATGCCTCAAACATGTTCTCGAAAGGTTTCATTAGAGTCACTCGTCTCATCTGAACTCCGTTCAAACACAGACAAGTCGCTCGTTCATCTCTGCAGAAGTTCTGTTCTGCGCTCTGAGTGAAATCTGGGCTGGATCTGAAGATCTCCAGCACTTACTGAAGCCTAAAGACCTAAAGACCAGAGTCAACATCAAGACAGCGCTCAATTAATGTCCTTTCCAAGACAGATCTTCCTTTAATTCGTTTCATTCTTCTGCCCGTCTAGACCTGAAGGTCTGGCAGCAAATTAACCATCTGTGTGATTTTACAAACGTCTAAATATGTAAGCTCATTGTTGAAAATGTAAATTTGCTCTTGAATACATTAGGCTGCAGATGTAAGCAAACGTTTCAAACTCATCTGTGTAATTAGACTTTCGACTCTAAATTTTAGGAATGATTGACAGCGTTAAATGAACAAGCTTTAACTTCATTAAGTGGCAATTAGTAGCAGGGTATAATGTCTGAAAACATTTTCTCAGCAAATATTCGAGGATGACTTTTCGTTTGAATGATTTTGGACATTTTCTGAAAGTGAAATAGACAAACTGACCTGCATGACCTGAAGGCTATGAAGGTCACGTGTCTGTCAATCAGCATCTGAACAGTCAAACACTCACTGCTGAATTCAACTGTGAGTCTACAGCATCAATAATTCATCACAGCACCTGACAGACATTAAATAACCAGGTAAATCAGAGCATATCACCTGAACAAATCTATTAGATTTCAGCATAATGAATCAGATCAGCACAGCTACACACAATTACTATTGTCTTGATTGCTTGTGAGGGATTGATTTAACAGATAGAGACTCTATCTTCTTCAAATCAACATCAATCATCAAGACTCTATACATGAAATTAACACACATTTAAATAATGATTGAAACAATCACATGCATCTACAGTTCAATGCCAAACAGCCCAATATGTCACTCATTATTTAAAGGTGTCAAACACTTTTACAAGTGCAAAGAAACATTTTAGGCAAATATATTAATTAATTAAAAGTATATGATACTGCAACACCTCAGGGCAGAAGCCAACCATCTACTGACTACATTCAGTTTCTAATAACAGAACGAAATGTTTAATATAGACTCACTCAGCAGTTGCCATCATTTAACCAGCAGTTTAAATCAACTCAGTGTCTAGACAAATACAACAAATCACAAACAGAGTGAGACTCCATCCTCCTCAAACCAACACAGATATCAAACACACTTAACAAATTATTCTATATGTTTGCTTTGATGTAATTTTATTATATTGCTTGCCTTTTTATATTTTATTTGTGCATTATAAATTTATTTAAATTTGCTGTGTATTTTATTCATTTCTGACCTACTGTTGTACATCAAGGGTATGTGTTGTGCACTTGTGGCTTTACATTTACGCATTTAGCAGATACTTTTTTTATCCAAAGCGACTGCAAATTAAGCAATAAAGCATGCAAATATACAAATTAAACAATAAAATATTTGATACAGGCATCTATATCACGTTGTGCCTGTAATACTTTTCAGTCTACCTACTCATATAAGGTACTTTGTGAATAAAAAACTTGGAGTAAAGATTAAAAACAAAATATTAATGTAGCCTATAGGACTATTCACCAAACACATTGCAATCTCAATTAACCAAAAACCATCAACTGAGTGACACTGCAAAACATGCATCAAAACCACCTGCTCACGACTAAACTGTTTAATAGATGGGGTTACTTTCCACATGACACATTAAAAGCTTAATATTGCAATATTCAACGGATTACAGTAACTGTCATTTAACCAGCAGTAACAACTAACTATCTAGCAACATGAAAACAGCATATCAGAATCAAATATTAATTGCAACATTTATGAAAGCAGTTTCGATGGGTGCACACCTGTAACTGTTTGGAAAGTGAAAACTGGCGTCTCCAATGACTCTTTTCCCAAATTCTGGAGGACAGAAGCAGCTCGAAACACTCATGTCCTGCCAAAACGTGCTGCTACAGATCAGAGCACCTGTGTTACAGAATCTCTAGTGCAGAGAAGAAATAAAGGCGCCGTTGCATTAGTGTCTCCTCGTGAACCGCACACGTAGAATCAATCACAGCGCCGTATCGCGCGTTAATTCCAGCTGCGCTGCTTTGTAAAGGCAGTCTGATGCTGCTCTGAACTCCAGCTGTCTTACCTTCAGATGAAGCTGCTCGCGTTCGTTTCATTGTGTGACAATCGGTCAGTGATGATGCTGAGCGCTCGTGCACAGGCTGAAGGGAAGATGAGGAAGATGAGGAGGAGGAGGAGGAGGATGCTGCCGGGCTCTTCAGCGTGTGTGTGTTTGGAGAGTCAGCGCGCTCCGACGGCCTGCGAGGTGTGTGTGTGCGTAACAGTCTTTCTGCTCCGCCCCTTCAACTATATTATTACTAAACACACCGCGCCACCTGTCGAGAAAGAGAGAAAGTGCAGGTGCGTCAAGTTTCAACAGCAAAAGTTATTCAGAGGTGTAAAGAGTACCTGAAAACCATACTTGAGTAAAAGTACAGATACCTTACAGTGAACATTGCTCCATTACAAGTTACAAGTCAGCAAATTCAAAACAACTTGAGTAAAAGTCTAAGGCTGATGATACACGGGCAACTTTTTGAGCAATGTTGCCGGGCAACTTTGACCTATGTTGCCTTCAAAGGGCAACCAGATGAGACACAGGGCCCACGACCGATCTAAAGTATCCAGACATTTGTTATCCATTCTCAATGTGAAAGTGCCCAAGCAACATTGCTCAAAAAAAGTTGCCCGGCAAAATTGCTCAAAAAGTTGCCCCGTGTATCATCAGCCTTATAGTATCTGATTTTAACAATACTTAGGTATTTTACTCATCAAATATAGGCTCAAAGATGCACTAGTCAAAGAGACATGCCAGTGAAAACAAGAAAGAGTTGATTTGTGAGGAGAGCAATCACATTTATTTTCTAAAACCAAAATAAAAGTGAACACCTCAAAAAAAAAAAAATCATTCAAATAGGTCTCTTCAGTATAATGGATAAATAAAATCATGTTAAGTATTTTTTTATTTATTTAATTATTTATTTTTTGCTTAATTTGTTTATTAAACTTGTACAATAATAACAGGAGAAGAATACAGGAGAATAAATCATGTTAAGTAAAATAAAAAAGTCAACGCATTCTTGCACCAGATGAGCTGGTTTCGGCCGCATTGCTGTTGCTAAGGAACTCACATTCATGTAAAGTAGCCTTGTTGACAATGTAGTGGAGTAAAGAGTAGAGATAACTTATTCAAAAATGTAGTGAAGTAAAGAGTAAAAGTTGCTAATATACTAACTAAAAAGTAGCCAAAAAGATACTCAAGTACAGTAATTAATTACATTTACTCAAATACTTTACACCTCTGAAGTTATTACAGATGGAAAGCTTATAGTCCAGTTTCAGTGTTTAATGCAAGCCAGCGATATTATAGTTAACTAAAACCAAAATCATAAAAAAATCCGTTACTCCAAATAAAAATTAAACTTTAACTGAAATAAAAGAAAATATAAAAAAACATAGCCAAAGCAAAATTTCTCTTTTTCATTGACTTCAACTTGATAATAAAATAACTAAAACTAACACTGAAATTAAAATTCATAAAAATATCGACGTTTACAAAAAAACACTAATAATAATAAAAATGACGAAACACAACAAAATGATTAAAACTTCAACTAAAATTCAAATGAAAACAAAATATATAAAAATGAAAACAATTCAAAATATTGATAAAAGCTATAATAGTATCTCAATGATATTAAAATAGCACTGATGCAAGCTCATCAATTTAATGCAAAAAGTAAGCTAAGCTATAAAGAACTCAATGTAATTCAAGTTCATAAAAATATTTTTAAAAATCATCCACATAATTATAAAACAAAAATTATTCATATAGTAAAACTACTTTAAAAGCATGTTTATACAGTACATACATTTATACTATCAGAATATATCTGCTTTTATGACCTCATATTAAGGTTTTTTTTGTATTCTTACAATCCTTATAGATTATTTTTTAATTCCCTTCATTTACATCGTTTTTTTTTTTTTTTTTTAATATATTGAATATTACAATATTACAATCATACCACAGAACTGTCTAAATAACCTCACAGCCAGTTCATGTGAAAGTTTAAACTGGGGAAAAACAGATTTATAAGATTAATATGTGGTATTTAAAAAGTGCATTACAAGTACTGAAATAATATAATCGATATTTACTCAAAGGATAGCAATAGGCTATAGCAGGGCCATCCTTTGGGTAGGTGCAACTGGTGCGGCGAACGGACCGAGGGGGGCCCCGTGTCAGACTCAGCAAAGAGAGAAAGGGTCAGCAAAGGAGAAACAACCATTCATTAATTGTTTACTAGAGCAAGTAATGATTAGTTTATGTTTATACGTTAATCTCATGCCTTTGACAGAATATCAACACATTCTGAATCTTCAGTGTTCATTTACAGTCAGTTTAACTGACGCATTACACATAACTTTGTATATTAAATTCAATTCGGCAGCGTCTCAGATTCACATTCAGTGCATGACTGACATCTGCTGGTGATGATGCACGTGCAGAAGAACAATGCACAAAAAAAAGAGTTGAATCCCGTTTTACTCACTTTTTGAGCACTTTAAACGGAAGAGACTTCAGTGAACGAATCGGTGCATGAAAGTGAACGAGAAAGATTGGCCCATTTCGAAGATTTAAACGCCACTACAGCAGTAATAAGTTTTTTATATAATATATATCAATGTTCAAACAGCCTATTGTGAATAGCCTCTGCTGCAAGTTTTTTTTTATTTGTTTTTATAAAGTTCTCTAGATTTGAATATTCACACAAAATACACAACATAAAGCTACAGATTACAGATATCGGTGCTCAGGAGTCAGGACTGCAGTGTAAAACACTAAATCCATTTCAACAAGGTTATAGAGACAGAGACAGGCTTTCAAACATATAGCTTTTATTGGTAAAAAATAGTCCTATTTGAATTAGCAAAAGACTCATATATTTATAAATTGAATAGATTAACATAAATGTTGGTTATTATAACTGCAACAATAAGAATACTTTAACAATACTTGCAATAATACAACAACAAAAAAACAGTGATTAACAGTGAATATTGAATTGTGTCTTATATTGGAATCAATTTCAATAAGGGGTGACAGAGACCTCTAGTGGTGAGCTTGAAATAAAAAAACATCCAATCACTGATTTTTAAACATGATACAGAGCAAGTCAAAGTATAGTTTTTAAAACAGCAACATACACAAGTATTAGTGCAACTAGTTTTAAAGAAATACTATTAGCTACTGTATATCTTGACAGAACAGGGTTCATTCGAAAAAACTTAGGTTACAGCTGTGTCCCTACTTTTGTCAAAATCACTAGATATGAAAAGATTATTTTATTTTATTTAATAAAATCAGTTAATGTCAAAGTTAATGCTATCTGTCAAAGTTTATAATAAATGTTTGTATCTAACACTGACCTATATTGAGTGACAGACAATAAGAAACATTTGTTAGCTGTGAGGGTTTGGAAGAAACAGGACAAATATATATAATTTGGATATTAAAATTTCAGCCCGTAATAATGTTGAGCTCAAGACACAAGCTGATCATTGAATGTATTCAAGCTCTACAACTATGAGATATTCTCAAACTCTCCTGATCATTGAGTCTCTACAAAGACTAAATTTGACACAAGTTTGATCCACATCTTCAACTCTATTGAACAACCAGTTTGACTGTGATTGTAAGACAGTGAGAATTTTAAGGACATGTTTTTATGTAATCAGCCTATCACTGAATTTAAGCAAAACAAAGTTCATGATATTTAGTAGTCAGCAAATCAATAATCAAGTGAAAATTAGGATTAATAATAAAGAAAAGAAAGAGTGTATGACAATACCATTTTGGATAGTCCAAAAAGTTTTTTTATAGTCATTCGTAACTTTATTCATTATTCTCAACTTATTTCTTAGGATGCAGTTTTTCTTTTTCTCTTCTTATTACTACAATCTAAAAAATGCTGGGTTAAATATAACCCAGCATTTTTACTATTTTAATATATATAGTCTTTTGCATTCTGTGTGGAGAGTCGTACCAAGCATTTCACTACATGTCGTATTGTGTATGATTGTGTATGTGACTAAAAAAGTTGAACTTGGATATACTGAATCAGAACTTACATATACTGTACAGTTCTCTCGCAGTACCATACATTATTTGATGTGTGAAGGTATGGAGAAACACATAAAAAAAAACAACAAAAAATAAAATGTATATGCTATATAAAAGCGATAAGGGTTGTAAAACATGAAAATATATTTATGTCTGTCAAAGGTGTGAAATTGTGAAATAACTGACATGGAATTAAGAATTTGTACTTCTCTGCAAATTAAAAAAAGAAAAAAAGTTCAAAAATATGGTGATACACAAAAGTTTAGACTGAAGTCTAATGAAATTAAGATTAGAAGAAAGTTTTCATCTGTGAGAGTTAAAGAGAGAGATAATGTGAGTGTGTGTGTATGTGACTAAAAAAGTTGAACTTGGATATACTGAATCAGAACTTACATATACTGTACAGTTCTCTCGCAGTACCATACATTATTTGATGTGTGAAGGTATGGAGAAACACATTAAAAAAACCAACAAAAAATAAAATTTATATGCTATATAAAAGCGATAAGGGTTGTAAAACATGAAAATATATTTATGTCTGTCAAAGGTGTGAAATTGTGAAATAACTGACATGGAATTAAGAATTTGTACTTCTCTGCAAATTAAAAAAAGAAAAAAAGTTCAAAAATATGGTGATAGACAAAAGTTTAGACTGAAGTCTAATGAAATTAAGATTAGAAGAAAGTTTTCATCTGTGAGAGTTAAAGAGAGAGATAATGTGAGTGTGTTTCTTTCACTCAACTGTGTTTCTCAGTTGTTTCTCACAGGAGGCTGTTTAATCTCACACAGAGACACTGAACTACTACCAGAATAAAAAATCCAGCATAGAGGGGTTCAGTGAATGTGTGTAAGTGTGTGTGTGTGTCAGAGACGCTGTAGAAGGACAGAGTGCCGGCTGACCAGTCCAGATACACTCCTACTCTCTTAGACGATGAAGAGACAAATGTGTTTCTGTCCCAATTACTGTGATGGACAATGAATACTTCAGCAGTACAGTTCAGACTCCAGGACTTTTCATTGCGTATAAACCTAAAATAGCCATTTCCCTTCTTGCTGATTCCTTTATATGTCACTGACATATAAACCCCCCCCGCCACTCCATTCAGCCTCCCAGTAACAGCGTCCAGTCAGACTCTCTTTACACAGA